GTATATATATATATATATATATATATATATATATATATATATGTGTGTGTGTGTGTATAGAGATGTATTATGCGGTTTTCAAAATTGCTTGTGAACAAAGAATATAAAATAATCGAACCTCCGTTTCAACTAAATCATTGAAAATCAACCGACATGTCGAAAAAAAAAGACGACGATAATCTAGAAAGAAAAAAGTACGTTTTCATGTATCGTCTGTGTCTTTATTTCCCATATACCGCTCTCTTCGAAGCGGAATCACCGGGATACGACCCCTTCTGTAGATGACGATGGCAGTTCGCGCTGTTGTGGAATCCACCGCAATGAATGCAGGGGTTCTTCTTATAGCACGACGACGCGGGGTGCCCGACCTGCCCGCACAAATCACACTTCAGGAGCTGCGGGTGTTTTTGGTAGCAATTCCGCGAGGTGTGGCCAAGATCCCCACAAAAGGTGCATCGCGTCGTGCGGTTCGTCTTCTTAAAGCATTCCGCCTCAGTGTGGCCTTTGGCGTGGCAAAACGCGCATTTCCCGCCGGACCCGATATCGCGCTCCAGCCAGGTTTGATTCACTTCCGCCGACTTTTCGTCGGCCTCCTCCTCGACGAGCCTCCCGACGCCGTAGTGCGCGGCGTAGCGCGCCGTTAGGCGGTGCACCGCTGCCATCGAAACGACCCCGTTGCAGCGGCGTTCGAGGATCGGCGCGAGGAGGAGAATTTGACGGACGTCATCCGCCGCGTAATCGAGAAAATGCGCGGGAAGCGGGCGAACATCCCACACCGGGCGATGCCCGAGTGTCATCGCGGTGTGAACGGCGGCATGCCCGGCCGGACGGGTGATCCCGGCGACGTCTTTTAGCACATACGCCATCCCGGATCGTCTGTTTACACTACGCAGCCGCCACTGCAAGGCAGTGAACTGGAGCTGCAGATCTAACGCGGTATTAGGGGTTAACCCCATCTGCACACTCAGCGCCTCGATATCCCGACGGCAGTCAAAAAAAAGCTTCGTGATCGCCGCATTTTCCAGCACCGGGGCGAGGTATTGCTTCGTCAACGCGATGGATAGCACCAGAACATCGATCAAAAAGACAACCGGATAGACATCCGTACAGGCCTGAATGAGAGAAATCTGACCAAGATGCTTCCTATCACTTTCAGTGCAGAAAGCCTCGATATCGAGCGCAATTAAGCGACTTTTATTAAGACAAAGTGCGGTTTCCTTTAACGCGTCCACCGTATCCACCAGTTTGTACGGATACCCTAGGATGAGAGCTTCTTTTTCGGTAATTTTCCCTTCCCTAATAGACTCCTCTGGAGTGTGAGGTGAAGTTACAGGCGAGGTGGATCCTAAATGACGCTTAAGTGAACTGCTTGAGGTTAGAGGGGAAACCATTGCACGCCGCACCATACCACCGACTGAGGTACTCAACGGTGATACATACAAGTTAGACGAGCTATAAAGTCTCCTACCTCCTGGCATGCATACTGAAAAAACGATGACAGGAAGCCTCCGAGAAGCTGATCGTGTAACCGCACGACGAAAGCATAGTATCGACGACATAAATGAGTGTTATACCAAAGATGCGCGTTGATATGAAAACCACGTATAAGGCTTGTTTTTTACGTCTATAATATGACTATCTGATTAGTGGTAACAGTGATTATTATGATTATGATTGCTATATTTTAGTACGCAGAGAAGTATTATTAAACCACAAGACAACCCCAGTCACAATTCGCTTTAATTATTGTATTATGGGTGTGGGCCGAGCAACTATGCTATTAAGGAGCGTGAAACAGAAACAGTGAAATAATAAAAAAGGGAGGAAATTTTATTTAAACATGGATCTGACACAAAACAGGTAAGCAACTGAAAATTATTTGTTTGGGTTGCTTCCCATAGCTGTCTGCACAGTATTCGGCCTAACTTTTCTTCTTATTCCCTTTTAGCTCATGCATTCTTAGACTAACCCGACATTAGCAAGTCGAGATAATGACCAACCATGAAGCGCAATACGCCCACCTTGTGAACGCCCTCTTTGGTGGGCTGGTCATCGGTCCACGTCTCAAATTTATCGGCCGTTGGCACCCTGCCAAAAATGAGCAGCTCAGGCTCCAAAAGCATCGAACGCTGCTTTTTCTTTGATCTCGGTCCTTCAAAATGTAAAACAACTAGCGCCGCGTCGCTTTGAGAGGGTTGAATCCCGCCAACACCCTTGATGCCGCCCATCGGATAGGTTAAAGAAGCATTCTCAGGCGCTAGCAATCCCACAACCTGTTGCAGACGATCAAACCACGTTGATATCACTCCTTGTGAGGATGAAGGTCGCGTGGAAGGCGTTGGCGTGATAGGATTTAAGTGGCTGCCAAACCACCCCGCTCCCGGCCGCACGCTCCACCCCCAATCGTACCTCGCGAGGCCATACACCCGCAACAACCCTCCATTCGGGAGAAGGCAATCAATATCGCGATTCGTCCAACTATTCTGCATGATCTCGCGCAGGCTCGAAAAGCGCGAGCGCATCACCGGCGAGAAGGTGATCACCATCTGCGCGGAATCTCGACGGAGCGGGATGATCACGTAATCATTGCCGTCGAAATACTTAGGGGTGCTCGGTTCGTGATAAAACGAGCCTTTCGGCGAGTATTCGATGTAGACATGACGAAGCCTGCCAATACCAGGGCAAGACTGTTGCACCCGATGCACAAGATTCCGCAGTGATGCAGGCATGAGGTCAAATCTCATGCGATCACCACTACCCCAGGGAGCCTTCACGGGCTGATTACTTTCTGGATGGTCGGATATCACGCGAACCTGTGAAAAAAAACTACTGTCTAACTCCCCAAACGGCCCCTTCCCTACCCTCCCGCTTCCTTTCCGTCGTAACCACGACCATGACGATCGGAGGCAGCCCTTGAGCCCTGTTTTAGAGCTTGAATCATCTGAGTCTAGAACTTGGTGATCGACCCTGAGCTCAGACAAGCGTCCCTGCTCCAACTTCTGCTCGAAAAAACGTACCTTCAGAGGATCCAAGGTGCATCCAAGCTTTACAGACCACTGGCATACTTGGTTCAGAAAGATGTTTACCTCGTGTGGTGCTAAAAAACCCTTTTCCACGCGAAGCCCGATGTTTTCTTTCTTCGTCAAAGGGGTCCCGAGCGCGCCATCAACCTGCCTGGGTTTCACAGTTCCCTCGGCTTGGATGACGGGCAAATCGAACGCAACGCCACGAAGAAATTCCATATGCTCGTCTGAAAGAGGGGGATAAGAGTCAGACACTGGATCCATTAACTCCTCCCTCCATTGATGCGCTAAACGCTTCCTAGAGGCTATAAAGCCAGTAATCACGAATGTTGGAATTCCAACCGCAGCAATCCAGGATTGTGAGCCTAGCATAACGCGTGCATACACACATACACACAAACAAATAATTCGAATGATAGATTACAAAATAGGATGCACAAAACCTCCCTTTCGCGTATTATTTCTCAGTTCGAATGGGTACCGTCCCCTATGTTTTGATTGAAAACGACTATAAAAACCATACAATGAAGATAATATATATATAAACAATCAGCTCTCAAATTTGTATAAGCAACCGCAGTGATTGAAACTATCACAGAATGGAGCCATTCATGTAGTTGTAAGTACAGACACTAACATCACATTCCTTGAAAGCATCGTATACACTTCTGAATTAAACGAATCACATTGATATATATATATATATAGAATGGATACAAACATATGATTCTTTTTTATAAAGGGAAATTGATACCATGACAGAAATTAGAGAGGGCTATTTTCTCTGCTCATAATCTTTGAGTAGGATGATATAATATAGCAATATATTCTTTTTATATTTGTAATAGTGCTGCAAGCGTTAATAGGAATGAAAAAGGAGCCTATACACAACATCCCTTACTCCTTCACTTGTTTCATGGAATCCCGCAGAATTTACCTTTGGTTAAGAGCAGAACATTGTATTTGTCGGCAATGGAAATGCGAGTTATGGCCCATTTGTCATCTCCATGGTTGATGGGCTTCTTATTAGACCTCAACTCGGCAAATTTAGTCTTTGAATCCAGGCATAAAAATAGGAATTCACACGTTGGCATTGCCGTGCGTATAAGATATATAACTCTATTTTAGAAAAACACCAGCCTTGAGCTCTTTTTCTAAGCCAAATAGTCTATAAAAGAACCTTTAATGCTTTTCTGTGTGATCCGACTTAGGCAGAAGATCTACCTCGCTGCACCTTAATTTGAGCCTTGCCCAAGGACGAAGATTTAAAACCCAAATCATCATGTGCAGTGTGATAAGAAATTCATCGCAAATTTGCCTTGTATTTAGATACAGAAAATGCAAGTGCGATTGACTTAATTCCTTGTCTACATCATTAAGAGAAAAATGAGTGAAGTTGATGTACAACAAAAGCACTATATTAGGAAATATCTGTAAAATAAAACTGAAAACGATTTCTTCCCACTACCCATGTGTATAGTAGCCCTTAGGATTTTGTAAGACTACTATAGGTATAACCGAATTAGATAACTAATCCACAATAACGCATAAGTAATCATGGTATACATGTAATAAAAGTACAAGACAATATTTCACTTTTATTTCCACGCAGAAGCAGCTAACATAATAAAAGTAACAATAATAATAATATACACATACCTATACACATATAAACATATATGCATATATATATGCATGTATGCATGCACGTATTGGTAAATTTCAATTATTAATGATTCCATAATCAAGTAGACATCAATAGGAGCGGTCTGCACTTATTACTATTGATCAAAGAGGAAGAAGTGTCAAAACTATCAATAAAAGGAAAGACATTTATTTGGAAATTGGACGGCTTCAGGTGTTAATAAAAGGAATACCAATAAAAGTCCGCTTTTTATACTTTGCATACATCTCGCCGAAAAAATCTTCCCTCTCCAGGATGCACTCTTCGTAAGGAATGCGCAATTGGAAGAAGCGCCACGTGACAACTGTGTGAAGAATAAAAGAAATTGGATTAGCAATTGCAAGCTGTGAAAAAAAGACACGCCAAAACCATCCGAAGTATGCGGGGTGCCTAAAGTATGCATACATGCCAGTGTCCACAAGAATATGTGTGCTACGCTTTTCATATTCAATCATAAGGGAAAAATTAGAGCCGCAATTAAGCATGGCTGCCACGCGAATCGCATAAAAAAAAACGGCTAATAACTCAAATACCAGTACACTCGGAAAACTGAGTCGAAAACAAAAATACAATGTCTTGCTGAGGGCTGTGCTCGGAGATGCCACCCCGAAAAGTTTCAGATTGTCGGGAATAAGGAATGACTCCACCCAAAACTCTAACAACGCGGAGCTACACGCTAATATAAATTCCTGGGAATGAAAGATCATAAAGGCAGAAGGATGTGCGTTGTGTTGAAATATCGAAGACGCAACTAAAAACTCGGTCATGTGAAAGACAACATGGAACAGCAGAATATGCATTCCAAAGGCAAACTCTATCACGCTATAGGAAAGAAACCAAGCGTGGAAAATCAGAAAGAGGCTAATGACGGCGCAACCTCCGAGGAAAAAGCTGATTAGGGCCGTTTCCCGTAAATGATTAGGTTTGGATTCATTGTCAGTATGTTTCAGGGACATCCCTATACTACTCTTATAGCTGAGGGATAAAAAATTAGCCGAACGACGAATAGAGAAACAAATAATCTCGCCACTGCATTACCTATGATAGAAAGAGAAAATAGAGAAGAAATAACAAAAGGATGTGTAAACAAAGATCTGAAAGAGCAAACTAAAGGAAAGTGCACAAGCAAACAGCGGAAACTCAATGGAGGCCAAATTGTTAAACAGTAAAATTCAACATGATAACTGACCGGTTTTGCTTCCCTAGTGTTTTACTTTCATTTCTACTGCTATCTTGACTAGCAAAGATTATGCACACTCAAATTGTGTAGAATAAGCGAAAAAAGATGCCTATAAATGACATTGCACAATATCGAGACCTTAAGCAAACTGGGGATTCTGTTGGTGTCATTTGAAAAAAAGAAAATCAACCTGAAAGCGAGAACTATTCCCTCTCACCTTCCCTACATCCCTATCTAAGCAAAAGCAGAAATACGCCACACACGAACGCCGGTTTAGTTTCGCCAATCGTCGTGATCGTTACCCTTACTCGTCCGCCCGAAGGCCCACTGGCCGCGGTAAAACTCCTCGACGAGCTCGTCGGATACATCATGCACGCCGCAGAAGGGCATATAGAGGGGCATACCCTGGTTGTGCACCCAACGCGTAAAGCCGGCCTCCTGCAGAACCCGCCGCTCCGGGTTGATCAGATTCCCAACCCCCGGCACCCACATCGGATCCCGAGACCAAAAAGTTCCCCAATGGATAGGAGACCAGTCGTCGTGTTTGATGTTAAACGGCATCGGGATACCCGCACGGGAGTTCAAACCCCACTCCCCACGTGCCTTAATCTGCGCGGGCGTGTGGGCGACGTTTCCTTGAAGCCACTTCAGCCAAATCGCACTCCCGGTGTACGGGGATTGGCCGCGAAACCAATGCGGATCGGCCGGCTCCACCAGACGACCCCACATCGAGCCACTCGTCCGACGCGACATCCAATACTTATTACCATTCTCATCCTTCCCCATAAAGATCTTTTCATCCCGACGACGCCAGGATTCACCGATGTAGTAGTGTTTGCGGATCGCCCCGAGGAGGCCGAACATGCGGAAGTCGTGAACCATCCAGCGCATGCGCTGCCAGGAAAAGCAATCCCGCCAGGGGACGTCACTCTGGCGGTGGTGATGCCGCGGGCCAGGCATGGGGTCGTCGTGGACTTTGGTGTAGACGAAGTTTTTCGCCCCACACTTGGAGGATTGGGTGGCCATTTTGGCGTACCTCGGGCCCAAAGGATTCGTCCCATACGCCCCATAGGTAAAGATACTAGACATTGTCGTACTTACTTGTGTTTGTCTATATGAGAACCAAGCAACGTTAGCTAAGGCCACTACTACTACTAATACTACTGCTACTACTAATAATGATAATAATTTAACTAAAGCACAATAAAAAGATCAAGCAGGCTTTGAACGCCCTTATCTCGCTTGTTTGTGGTAACCCCTTACGTTGAATAGAATGAATTTGAGCACCAAACAATGGAATAACAAGAATACAAAAACACTGAGCTTGGCATGGGAATTACACTGAGAGGAAACAAAAGGCAGCGCCTCGAGTTTCTGCGTACCGCTCATTTATGGTCTAGAAGCTAGCCCAATTATGGTACCACTTTTTACGGAAAAAGCGAGAACTAGAACAACCATATTCCGCTGTCTTGAAAAAAAAAGTCATACTTTTACAATTTTTAAAAAGGCGTGAAAAAGAATCGACGCGGTTGCGTAAGGACGCCGCAGGATGCAGACCACGAAACGGCTCACCCTGTGGAGGCCTTCAATAAATCAGAAATCTGTTTCTCCTCGTCGGTGGCTCGAACGACGTCATCGAGGATGAGCGGCTCGCTACAATTCGGGCAGACGAGGCCATCCCCGACGTCCTCCGCAAAAGCCGCCTCAACCATTGCATCAAAGCAGCCTTTGCAAAGAAGACGCCGACAACATGGCATCCGCATCGGCACGACAGCGAGCTTCCCGTCCATTATGCACTCGTAGGCCTTTCTTTTTTCCACGAGGTCGACAGCCTCGGGAAGAGGGAGAGAATCCGACGATTCGAGGGGTGGAGGGGGAGGGGTGGAAGGGGTTTCCCACTCCTTTCCCGCCGTGATCCCTCCCACTGTGTCCATCAACGTCACCTCATGAAAAGCCGACGCGTCGACGCGACGCTTCACCAGACGGCGATCCCGCGTGATGAACTTCGGGGCGGGGTCGTCCATCGCGCACTCGACGAGCATGCTCTCGGGAATCCCCACTGGAAGGGAGAGCATTCGAAGATATTTTCCGCCTTTCGCAGAAGGGCAGTGCTGAATGTAATGTCCGCCTTTCCCGCAGTTATGGCAAAGGTAGCCACGAGGAGGGGGCTGGAAGGTGTCCTCACGCGAATGCCCTGGAGGGCCTGAAGAAGAGGAGTTCATGAAACCCCCCCCTCCCCTCCCACGGCCACCCCCCCTCC